GAAGCCGAGAAAATCGCACAGGTTGGCAAATAAATGCCAACATTCTGCTCAAGAACTCGCATGTTGCAATATAATAGGAAGCCAGGCTCGTGTACTTGAACTGTGTGTCGAGGGTTAGCTGCGATTTATTTAATGGTTTTTTAGAAAAACATTCTTGAAGCCATAAAGTTGTTATGCTGCTCTCTAGCACTTGTGCAATTGATATATATATTCAACAGCTATAATTAAGAGATTTTTATAGCATTAGGTTTCACAGTTTATAGCTAGCACCCAGCTGTAATGATTTTTCATATAACAAGAAATATATATGCGACGCCTCATTTCGCTTTTTTAATCACATTTTTTGCTGTTCTTTAAGTTTTGCTCTTTATTATTTAAGTAGGCCAGTTAAGCGACAGATGCTATATATTCCCCTTAAAACTTATTGTAACGAATCTTGGTGCCAAAATAGATTTTAGACTAGACCTGGCAAGCTTCGTTCGGGGTTTCGGGAAATTCCACCCGCTTGTGTGGAAAAATCGTGAAAAACGTTTCTATGAAGTTTTTTTGTTTACCGTCCGGTCGGTTTCAAACTTATTTTCAAAGATCTTTGAGAGAATTTATTTTATACGTGCCAAGGGCAAAGCCGGGGTATACCCGCTTGTATCCTATATAGACATAGGTCTAAATTTCCCAATCTCCTAACTCGGCCAAAAGTCAACTGATTTTCATAAAGTATGGCTTTTTGTTCATGGGTTGGCCTCTAGATCAATTTGACATCTAAATCTGACAACATAATTTTTACTCAAAATTCATGTAAAAATGGTACCCTCAAATATCTTACATAGACATTGGTCAAAATTTCCCACCCTCATAGTTTGGCGTCTAGATAAATTTTGCATCCAAACCTGGCAATATTATTTTTGGTCGAAATTCATGTTGAAATGGTACCCTCAAATATCTTATATAGACATAGGTCGAAATTTCCCACCCCCATAACTTGGTCAAATCTCATCCGATTTTCATAAAGTATGCCTTTTTGTTCATGGTTTAGCCTCTTAATAAATGTTGCATCTAAATCTAGCAACATTATTTTTGGTCGAAATTCATGTCAAAGTGGTACCCTCAAATATCCTTTATAGACTTAGGTCAAAATTTCCCAACCTCATAACTCGGTCAAAACTCAACCGATTTTCATAAAGTATGGCTTTTTGTTAATGATTTGGCCCCTAGATCAATATGGCATTCAAATCTGGCAACATTATTTTTGGTCGAAATTCATGTGAAAATGGGACCCTCAAATATCTTACATAGACATAGGTCAAAATTTCCCACCCTCATAACTCGGTCAAAACTCAATATATGCATATTTCTTATATATAGTTCAACCTTTAAATCTTATCCATGCAGCTAAGTCTTGAGGAAAAAAAACATAGGACCGCTGCATCAGATTGTTTCTATAGAAAATATTGTTTGGTTATTGTTGGAGAATGTTCTCTTTATGGTCTCACTTTTAGGCCACTTTCAGTTATCTGTTAAATATCATAGCACTATCAGATAGCCACTAATTACCAGCATAACCCACGGCTTGTTGACCAATTTATAAAAATCTTCTTGTGGCTGCCATTGTCAACGTGTTGTGACTTAACCCAATTCAGCAGGAGGGCAACAGCAGCAACAACAGCAGCAAAAACAACAAAAGCAACAGCAACAACAGCGACAAGAATGAATTACGAGTATTTTTCCTTATTTTCTTGTTAGTGCTGCAATTTGGCGTCTGAATGCGCGAATTTCATTTCCAACTAATAAAAAAAAAAAAACTGTTGCCCGTTGCGGCTTAAACTCTAATTAACGCCTCATCTGCGGTGGCGAAGGTGAAGACTTGCCCCTCCAACTCCGCCCCGTCCTACTCTTTGCCTGGTTAGAGAGATTGTCTGTAACCCAACGTAATGCTATGAACTGTCTTGACGTTGTGCCCATTCTGTCTGCTTGAGAACGTAGCGCAGTAGGTGGAGCACGCCGGAGCCGGGGCCGGAGCACGGGGAGGGAAGAAGAGCCACTTTTAGAATCTTTTACGGTATTTCCACAGCTCACGTCGCCCAATTAGACGCACTTTAAGGGGTCATTAAATGTTGTATATATATGTGATTTGATTATTATTAATAATTTCGCGTTTTTTATGCATTTTAAAGACCAGCTGTAATTGCAGCGGCAAAGTCGTGCCTCGATGGTTTAGCGGCTTTGTGGACACCGAGGTTCATATCTAAAATCTCAAATGTCGGCCGTGTTGCTCTTGTTGTTGTTGTTGCTGTAGTTGTTGCAGTTGTTTGGAGTCGAGTTTTTAACGCGCTCAGCTTCCGGTTGGAGTCGTAAAAAACAAAAAACAAAAAAAAAACTGCTCCTCTTTCGTCTATGGCTATGTTAGCACTTGTTGTTGTTTGGCTTTTACGATTTACTTTTTTTTTTGTGTTTTTGCCACGCTGTTTTTACACCACGTTCGAAACTTTTTTATATGCTTGTTTCTTGATAATTTTTCTCTGCCTCTCTCTCTCTCTCTCTCTCCCGCGTTTTTTATGTTTTCATTTCTTGGCCTCGTCGCGCGTTAATTGAATTTGCGGCATCGCTCGCCCGCTCCGCCCCAATCGTCAATCCCATAGTCCCAACTCTATCTTGGTTACACCCAGTCGCGTCCAGTCTATTTGCTGCGCTATTTATTTAATTATATTGCCGCTCACTGACTCCGACACTGGTTACTTCTTCTTCTTCAATTGCCTTTCTAGCCAGCTATTTGCTTGCCTTCTCTTCATTTGGTTTTCAATTCATAATTTGCATTTTGCAGTTGCTTAAACTTCATAGTTCCATAAGTTTAATTGTTTTTGTTTTTATTTGCTGTTTTCTACCAGGAAGTAGTCGACTTTTTGCTTGAATAACCATCGCATAATAAATAAAACCAGGCAAACATTCTTCTCCGAAGTGTGGCTACATTTCTTAAATTCGCTTTAAAAATTCTATTTTCTCCAATGCAATTTAATCGAGGCAATAGCAGCAGGTTTGTGCACTCACTGCTTAGCAAAGTTTCATACCAAAGTCTCAGCATGATCGCGGCTGCCTATCGCTTAGGCTGAAAATATTTGTTGCATACATTTTGGGGCGTACAAAAAATGGGTGCCATAATGCGCCATATCTCCGATTTCCGATGTCCGATTTCGGAATGATATACCTCCTTCTTCTCGTACGGATCCCGACTATCGATTGACACCAAAAAATCTGAATTCTAAGAAATGGCCCAATTTGAGAAAAACTGCTATGTTTTTTGCAAACATGACGATGTTGGCCGAAAATGGGCGTGACCACGAGTCGAACGAGACCAATCTTTCCAAGATCGGGGCTTATTTGGCCGAGATACAGCGATTTAAAAAACGCGAAAATATGCCGTTCTAATTTTGAAGATCTTATCGTTTTTTCCGATAATTCGGCTAAAAATTCCGATTTTGGAAAGTTATACCTTTTTGAACTCGTACCGATCTCTGGAATCGACTTGCATACCACGTTTTTTGGATTTTGTTTGGAAATCCAAAATTTGTGAAAAAAAAACAGGCAGACGAACAAAAATGAAAAATTTCATTGCATACCCAAACGGAGCGGTGGAGCAGCTGAAGTACCAGTACGGATCTGCTTTAGGGAGGAGGAACGCTCCGCAGGGAGTCTTCCTGCGCAATCCACAACAGCTACAAATACTTAGAGAGGCGTTGAACCTATAGTAAAACACATCTCAAGTATCACAGGAGCCCTGAAAAGCAGATTAGGCAAATTCAGATGGCTGCTCAACAGTATCTTTAAAAAACAAAGTAAAACTGCCTAGGCTCCTGCCTGGCGATATGGTATTCAAGTTTACGGTATTGCTGCAAAATCGAGCCTTACGAAAATCGGGGTATTTCAAGCAAAAACGCTCCGCTATCTGTCTGCTCCCTCTGGTATATATAACTTCCGATTTGGAAAAAGACCTAGGAGTGCCCAAAGTCGGGGACTTCATTAACAAACAGACTGCAAACTATATAACGCGATTGGGAAAACATCCAAATCGACTGGCTAGGCGCCTTCCAAAGAGGCGTCGAATTGGAGGAGTCCGAACGCGGAGGAGATTGCGGAGGTCTCATCGAATCGATCTCCCAGATCGATATACATATATATATAAAAAAAGTATTTTAGTCGCAATCTATAGCATATATGTATATTCCAAATAATATATCCATATTTCTAGTTGTTCTAATCCTTAAATTCAAAAGACTTGTTTTAAGTGTAGTTAAAATATGTCCTTCCGTATACATAATTTATTTTATTTTTGCTCGTTTTGGTCTTTATAAAAATAATAATAATAATAAAAAGAACACACGCCGAAATATAGTGCCTAATACTTAAATAGCGCAAATACTTGGATAGTACATTCGTAGGGGGAATTGATTACAATGTGTTAAGGATTAAAGAGAATTTTACAATTGAAAGAATTTTACAATTATAAAGTTACGATTAATATCTAAAGTAGTTATATATATATTTTCGTAAAAATATTAAAGCAAACATATTTTCGAGTTTGTTTATTTAAACATTCTCTTATTGTTTTTTCAAGTGTACTTTTTTAGTGCAAATTTGTTAGTTGTGACAGTTTCAAACTGTTTTTCGTATATAACTTTTTTCGGAATTTTTCACTGCATACTAATTTGGCACTCATGGGATTTATTCGAAGTTGGAATTAAATTTAATGCTTTGAAATTGCTGTACTTTAGCTCTTATATTAAAAAAGTAAATTGCGTAATATATATACAATTAATACGAGAGGGGGGGACACAGAGAGTGGGCAAAGTGGGGAAGGGGGGGGGGGGGGGTCTGTATAATTATATAGTGTGCTATGTTACAGATTTAAGAACGCTCTTTATAAATATTTATTACAAATGATTTGTATAACAAAACTGCGCCTTAGAACTAATTAAATATTCGTATTTATTATTATTATTTTATATATATTTTTTTTTATGATTTATGACCAAATTTTGGTAGCAACAAAAAACCTTTTTTACACGCACACACACACGCACACACTCATACACACACATGCACATAAATTAGTTGTAGTTTGTAGTTTTAGTTTGTCAGTTTTAATTGTTAACTTGGCGAGACTCAATTGGCTCAGTCGAGTGCTAGATAAACCTATATAAACCCATATACAATCATATTAGATCGTCAGTTCAATCGTTGGCCATGCAATAGCCGGAATATGTCTGTATATTGTCCTCCAGAAAACTCTCGCCCGCTATAACGCCCGACTGTGTGTGATGGCTGGGACAGCGATGACCCTTGGGGCACTGGCACAGCGAATTGATGTTGACCTCGTCGAGAAACTCCTGACGTTTACGCACCGTAAACAGCTTGCACGGCTGCTTGCGCTGGCAGCGTAGGCGCTGCAGGTAGAAGAGGAAGCAGAGCTTAGCTGGAGAGATTTGACTGGGTTTGGGATGGGGCTAACTTACCGTCAGCGGGGAGCAGGCGAATAGATAGCGATAGGATGTGCTGCTGTTGGGCACCGGCTCGCGTTTGGCCAGATAGGTGACCGAGTTCTTGGGACAGCGACAGTGCACGATCTGCTCGGTGACATTCAGCTCCGCGGCGGTGGTCAGTGTCCAGGTGTAGTCACGGAAGTGCCTGCAAAGCGGATGCAACAGGTTTAGCAAAGGGTGCAAAGGGGGTTAGCTAGAGCTCCGAGTTGAACTTACTTGCAGACGGGCAGCTTGTGCACCGGCTGGCACAGCTTGTAGTGCCTGGTCTTGTCCGCTATGGTATGGCCATCCTCCACGCCCAGGTTGCTCGGACAGCCGCCAATGAAGCTGGCCGCTTCCTTCAGACCGCGATGTCCCGAGTGACGCATGTGCGTCGCGCCGCGTGCTGGCGCCTGGGGCAGCTCATTGTCCGCCAGCTGCTCGTAGGCCGGCGGCAGCGCCTCATTGTAGTCCGGCGAGCGTTCCACATAGTCGCCGGCAGACGGCAGCTGCAGCTCGTCCTCGTAGACAGCGCCCAGTTTCTGCATGAGCTTCTTCAGATGCAGACTCTCGTACTTCTTGTCCTGGTGCCCGGCCAGCAGCAGGCGCTTGTGCTGCAACAGTTTCTCCTTCTCGTAGTAGCTTCGGAATTTCTGGCCCTCAGTCAACGTGCCATGCGCGTGCTCATGATGGTGCACTATGACATTGTTGGGCATGCGATTCGATTCGGGACAGCGACACTGGCGCTCTATCCAGGGCGTCTCGTACAGGTCGATCTTGGAGCAGACCGCATTCGGTGCACACACGGGCAAATCGGCCTCGGAGTCCTGTAGGAGAGAAAACAGAGCATGGGGAAACTTATTTACTGGCAATTTGACAAGTTGATTTCAGTTTTCCTTTTGTAGGCACTGTAAATACGCCTCTTTTGTGCGCCACATTTGCATAGCCAAGTGGCAGCACGTCGTCGAATCTGAACGAGTCATTGAAATAATTTCATTCATAGCCCAGCCAAGAACTGCCCAGCCGAAGAGCCCGACAAGAGCGGGCATTGGATTTGCTCTAAGTTTGAAGTGCCCATTCGTAGGCCATTCAAAGCATTAACAGTCCGGGGGGTTGCCCTTTAACGAGGGGGTGAAGGGGAGACCAAGTGAAAGGCAGACACTAGACAGAAGCTATTTGGACTTGGAGCAGAAGGCAGCTACCGATTGTGGGCTACTCTGTTGCTGAAAAGTTTGGGTATTATGGATTAAGAGCATAAAAGTGGACAAGGTTTGAATAAAAACATATGTGTATGGATCTCATCTCTCAAGTAGATAATAAGCTAACCTTACAGTACAGGGGTCACTCGCTAATTAGAACCAGCAAGAAGAAAGCAATGGTACGAAAATCATAACCTTAACCCAAATGCATATCACATATGAACTCTTTGCTCGGTCGACAAACAGTTTGTCTAACCCAAGCTAAACTACTTGCTACTAATCCTATATATTCCATTTGCCTTTTGGCAATGGAGTATCGAAAAAAGTTCTTTAGGGACAACAGCTTCTAAATATAACTTGATTAACATATGTGCCCATCCTAACTATGCCATATCAACCCTCTAACCCTCCAGCTTATGTGGGTGTGTTTGTTTGTTTGTTTGGGCTGCTCCGAGTCCATTCTGTAAACATCCAAAGCAGATACGTTTCATTAATTGAATTCCAAACGCCAAGCATGTTGTTGTCCGTTGAAGCGAATGTCCTGTGTGTGTGGATGTCCTTACACCTTGTTTACTTAATCCTATTTTATTCCTAGCTCTCTCTTGGTTCACATAAAAGCTTATGTTAGTATCTTGTTGATCCTCTACGCGCTATAAACATAAAATTCAACTGGCAGCTGCGGACTTTTAGTTTAGTTTTGTTTTGTTTCTCGCTCGATTCGCTGGCTTTTTATGTTGTGCTCCTCTGCCCTTGTCATTTATCCCTCTCATTTGATTTTATTGTATGGCACTCTGGCGACAACAACACGCACGCATATGAGCAACAACAACAACAGCAACAACAGAACAAACACAACAACAACAACACGTTTCCAATGAAATTATCGAAAGCAATCAATTTTTTAAGTGAAACTTCTTTCAACTGGTACCTTTTTGACAACTCTCTAGATGTTGTTGTCGCTGGCTTGGGTCCTTTTCTGTTTTGGTACTCTTTATACCCTGTAACCAAATGGGCAAAAGCAGTTCGACTAACTGGGTCCATCTGAATGATGTATACGAGTATAAGAAGTATAAGAGTATACGAAATTTGAATGTAGCTTCTATTATAAGACATTTTTCCTCTTCGATAACTTCTATAACATTTTCTCGAAATTGATAAATTTGTGTTTTTCGGAATATCTCGAGGATTATAAAGGGTAGAAGCACTAAATTTGGTATGTAGGTTCTCGTGGAGTGCACACACATGAAAAACATTTCACTTTTTAGATACCTTACAAAATTTTAAAATATTGGATTTTTTTATAAATATTTCCTTATAATTTGTATGTCGTATATATGCCTGTTCATAGGGTATCTTCTAGTTGGTCACCCACCACTGGAGCATTTTAATTTGCTTTTTATTTTTTTTTGGTCTTTTGTTTGGTTTCGATTTCAATTTGATTTTGTGTTTTTTTCCCCCATTTCTTACTGATTTGTATTCAAATTATTTTTATAATGAAATCAATAGGCCGTTTCCAGGCGTTCTCGTTGTGAAGTGAGTTGCACCTGCCTCGAGCACAGCTACCTGCGCGTCCTGATCCCACTCCCTTACACTATCTGTCTCCTCTCCCCTGCTCTCCTCTCCTCTCGTCTCTTCTCTCCTTCTGCTGCTGCTGCTTCGTTTACTTAGCGCGTCCGTGTCGTACCGGAAGTCCGGAAGTGATTTAGTGCAGGCGACCGCCTGGCGGAAGTAAATAAATATGTAAGTGCAGCACACACACATACACACAGACACACTTAAACACGCACATGTGTGTGTGTTCTTTCAAAAGGGATTAGCACTGCGCTGGGCCGAACCGGAAGTAAGGCAAAGCCAAAGCCAAACAGGTTGCCTTGCCTGACCTTTTACCTTTAGCTTCCTCTCTCTCTCTCTATCTTTCTCGCTCTCGCTCTCCTCTCTCTTTCTCCCTCTCCGTCTATTGCGGAAGTTACAGCCGTCTGCCCTAATGTCCTCTGCTTTGGTTTATTAGTTTTATTTACTTCCGCTCACAATTTACTTCCGCATTTTGCTGGAAATTAAGCAAAAAATCGCGCGTTTCCCACGCGTTTTTGACCTACTTTTTGTTGTTGTTGTTGTTGGTTGTTCTTATAAATGGCGGCACCTGCCCGTTCTGCCAGCTGCAGCTAGTTCCTGCTCATGTTTAGCCTTAACCCTTTGTTGACAACATTTTTTTTAAGCATATGCCAAGCTTTGTTCATGCCTTACGCGCCCTTGCATTATGTGGATGCCCCATTGGAATTCCCGGGGGCTGGGCACTTGAGGGAAACCTTTGTCGTGCTGGCAGGATATGCTTATGTAAGGAGCTGTGTCTGTCTACGCTGCTGCTGCCGGGCTGTAAGCAGCGTGGGAAATTCTTTGAAATTCGAGCATGTTTATTGACAGCCCCCACCCCTCCCTCCTCTGCTCTGCTACCTCAACTGGGGGTAGCTGGAATCATGCTGCGCCTGGAAGTGGCACTTCTGAGAAGCCGTTAAACACACACCCGCTGAGTTTACCATATTGATAAGCAAAATTTGTGTGTGTTAGAATGGGGCAAACATGCCCCCTTTTGCCCGAAAGATAAACAACAAGCCGAAGAAGTCGCAGTCAAAGCCAAGAACCAAGAAAGTTTATGCCCAGACAGTAAAAGTTGCTGCTGCTAAAGAAAAACAAAACTCACACAGACACAGACACAGACCGGATATCCGGTTTAACGCGAGCAAAAGGGTGGGGCACACGTGGAGTCGCCGCCGCCTGCCGCCTGCTGCCTGCTGCTGCTGCTGCGACACTTTATAATTTGCTCGGAGCTCAGCACGCGCGCGCTCCACAAACAATTAGCCTCATGTGTGTCAAAGTGCAAGAGGAGACAGAAAAAGCCAAATGTGGCAGGGGCCAAAAGGGCGCAGCGGAAGTCGAGAGCAGCAGACAAATGAATGGCGGCGACCATGCAACGTGATGCGGCAAGCACCGAACAACTTTTGACTTCCCCAACTGCAGCAAGAGCTTCGGTTTTTGAAGCTGCTTTAAGAGCTGTCAAAGGGTTTTACGCACGCTCGTTTAATTGAATCAAATTAACCCCCACAACCCCACCAAAAATGCAGAAGAAGCAGCAGCAGAAGATGATGATGATGAAGTAGAAGAAGAAGAAGAAGCGACTGCCGCTTGTCATGCCTCATGTGGCTGGGGGCATGCTTGGAATTCTGCGCCACAAGAGTTGAGCACCGGAAGCGCTGCTGCCACAAAGATGACAATGACTTATACAATATTCTGTATACCCTGTTAAAAGAGAGCGAATGAGAAGGTGTGGCATGATAATGGGGAAAACGTTTGTGTTAGATAGAAGAAGGAAAGATAAAAGGGAATAGATATATTATGATAGGATATTATAGTCTTTATGAACTCAGAAACTATTGCCAGCAAGAAAATATAAATAATGGTCTGGGTATATATTTGACCTGAGAAACTATTAGACCTAATGCTAATCAATAAGGTCTAACTTTTCTGATTCCTAAACCTGAGAAACGTTTGTGATAGAATATGCTCTAAACCGATAAAGGATAATATATATATTATATATAACTGTGTAGGCATCTATTTGAACTCAGAAACTATTCGACCTAGAGTCAGAAAATTTAGTATGTCCATACTTATATTTTACATTAAGTATGTAAATATCCGTTTTCTTGCCAAACTAGCCAGGTTTCCCTTTAATTGAATCTGTGAATTATAAGAGCTCTAGTTATCAAATTTTGGTATAGGGCTTCTCTGATATTAAACAATAAGAGAGTATATTTCTGTTTCCAGAAAACTTCGATAACTTCTCTTTCAGGAATTTTCTTACATAGTGTTATATCTGTTTGTCTTCTTAATAAGCAACTTAATAATATATGCAAAAGTGAAGCGGAAAGACAGCAAACACTTCTTACAGGGTACACCTCAGTCGAGCATTGCTGTCTATAACATTGCAGCTTGTTCTATGGCTGCCAATCGGGAGTGCGAGGGGCGAGCGTAATTTAGTCAGTTGCATAGCTGGCATGCCAATGCATCGTGCTTGGGCTTTTGTCTTTACGCTGGCTCCAGCCCGAGTCCCAGCCCGCCCCTGCCCCCTGCCCCTGCCCCCTGCTCCCTCCCGCCTGCTGCTCTGGCTGCCATTCATTAGCCAGCCGGCTTGGGGGAAGCCTTTGATTGTCGCTTAGCGGCGACAGCGTAATTTGAGCCTGTGGAGCTAACTAACTGACGGACGAACTGACTGGCTGGCTGTTGCGCTGATAGGCAGTGTGTACTGTAGACAGTGGGTACTGGCTGCTGCACCTGCCGCTATCAATAACCCAAACGGCTTGACATGACGCGCGCAAAATGCCAACAAAAGGACATGCCACAAAGGATCGACCTGCTTTGTGTGCGTGTGTGTGTGTATGCGTGTGTGTTGCCAATCAGTGACATAAATTTCTCGAATGCCGGAAGAGCTGCCTAAAGAAATGCTTGGGCATGTCAGTGCGGCTGGCAGGGATCGGTGTTTGGTTCCCATGAGGGCGTTGACGCACAAAGACGCACACGAACGGCGGATGACGTGGGACGCACCGACGGACCGACGGACGGACGCCGGCTGC